GCTATTCAACCCATTATAGTGGCTCAGTAGTGGCTTTTGCAGAGAAATGGGAAGTTCTGGTTGAAGGATGGCCCACCAGGCCTGGCTCAGAGTTCCCTTCCTGTATTCAGAGTATAGAAGACACGTCTTGCAGAGGCCTGAGACCTCTGGCCTGGCATTGCTTGTTCCTGTTTTACTGTGTGTATTCTCTCTCTCCATCACCTGGGCACACATCTGTATACCACCAGCTCTAACAGGCAGTACACTCTTAGTAAAATACAGTCTAGGCAAGTAAGAGGGGAAATTGTGTCTTTTTTTGTGCTACTGAGTTATTATTTGAACACGTAAGAAGAGTTGAACTATAGGCATGAACTTTTTCCTTGTATATTTTTGGCAGGATATTGCTGCAGCTGTCAACAATGTAGTAATGGCTGAGAATCTTTGTTTTTTACTGAAGCTGTTATTTGGTGCTACTTTTTGGGGTAGGGAATGTGCCTATTGTGTTTCCAGTTTCCATAGTTTCTTTTCTTTTTTTTAATATATATTTTTTCATTAAACCAAAAACAACAATTTCCATAGTTTCAAAGTTCTGTAGCAATCACAGGTCATCATTATTTGAAATAATTCACTGTGAACTGGCTACTTATAAAATTAATTCCTTTTTTTTTTTTTTTGAGACTGAGTCTCACTGTATCACCCAGGCTGGAGTGCAATGGCGTGATCTCGGCTCACTGCAACCTCTGCCTCCCAGGTTCAAGCGATTCTCCTGCCTTAGTCTCCCAAGTAGCTGGGATTACAGGTACCCGCCACCACACCCGGCTGATTTTTCTATTTTTAGTAGAGATGGGGCTTTACCATGTTGGCCAGGCTGGTCTCGAACTCCTGACCTCAAGTGATCTGCCTGCCTCAGCCTCCCAAAGTGCTGGGATTACAGAAAATTTAATTCTTAACCAGACATCCTTCTCATTTCACACTTGTGTAAATACCAACCACCTTTGTTGGCCAATCTCTTCTTGACTGTTTTGCAGAAGTCAGCAAACTCCAGCCTGTGGGCCAAATCATCCCACAGTCTGGTTTTGGTATTTTTAAATTTTATTTTATTTTTATTTTTGACACAGTCTCGCTGTATTACCCAGACTGAAGTGGAGTGCAGTAGCATGATCTCGACTCAGTACAACCTCCACCTTCCTGACTCAAGCCAGTCCTCCCACTTCTGACTCCCAGGTAGCTAGGACTACAGGTGTGTGCTTCCATGCCTCACTAGTTTTAGTATTTTTTTGTTTGTTTTGAGACGGAGTCTCACTCTGTTGCACAGGCAGGAGTACAGTGGCACGATCTCAGCTCATTACAACCTCCGCCTCTTGGATTCAAGCAATTCTTCTGCCTCAGCCTCTCGAGTAGCTGGGATTACAGGCACATACCACCCTGCCCAGCTAATCTTTGTATTCTTAGTAGAGACGGGGGTTTAACCATGTTGGTCAGGCTGGGCTCGAACTCCTGACCTCATGATCCATCTGCCTTGGCCTAACAAAGTGCTGAGATTACAGGCATGAGCCACTGGGCCCTGCCAATCCATCTTTGTTTCTACAAGCAAAGGACATAGCTGTAATTATAACCTCAGTCTTACTAAATTAAGGAACCTTTTTTTTTTTTTTTTTTTTTTTTTTTTTGAGACGGAGTTTCGCTCTTGTTACCCAGGCTGGAGTGCAATGGCGCGATCTCGGCTCACCGCAACCTCCGCCTCCTGGGTTCAGGCAATTCTCCTGCCTCAGCCTCCTGAGTAGCTGGGATTACAGGCACGTGCCACCATGCCCAGCTAATTTTTTGTAGTTTTAGTAGAGACGGGGTTTCATCATGTTGACCAGGATGGTCTCGATCTCTTGACCTCGTGATCCACCCGCCTCGGCCTCCCAAAGTGCTGGGATTACAGGCTTGAGCCACCGCGCCCGGCCCAAGGAACCTTTTTTCATAGAACTTTTAGTTCTCACGAAAAGGCCCAAAACTTCTTTTGAAGTACCAGTTGTTCTTGGCTAATGAAATATTTCTACACTTCATTCCATGTTCTTTGTTAGGGCTTCATCAAACATGCCCCTCAGCAGTCAACAATAGCATTTTTTCTCCAGTCCAAAGCTGATCTTGACTTTATAAGGTAGACTCAGGTACTTGGTAACTGCATTTACCCTTATAATTTTAGAGAGTCCTGAACTCAAATCCAAAGATCTTGCCAGCACAGACCTTCCTGTTTGTTGGTATTGAAGGAAGTGCATGGTAGTTCCAGGGCATTCTAGTGGTTGGCTTTGTGCTTAGCCTGCTTATGGGGTGCAGGTTCCTGGGCTTGGAATCAGAAGCAGGTCTCAGGCTCCTGGGAAGTAAATGGAAGACTGTCAGGTATTCCTTCAACCTAACAGGTTTAAGTAGCTGAGTTGTATTTCAGTCTTTTCAGAATGAATCTGAGCTCTTTGGGTGGATAATTTGTGTCATTTTAGCCAAACCAATGAGAGTTAAGGAAGGCTCTTCCAGACCAGGTGAGTGGGAACAACTTACAGATTCCCTGTCATGTCCACAGCTTTGGCCTTGGCTACCTTTTTTATTTTTGGATAGAGTCTTACTCTGTTGCTCAGGCTAGAGCGAAGTGGTGTGATCGCAGCTCACTGCAACCCCTGTCTTCTAGGTTCAATTGAGTCTTATGCCTCAGCCTTGCAAGTAGCTGGGATTACAGGCATGCACCACCACACCTGGCTAATCTTTGTATTTTTAGTAGAGACAGGGTTTCACCATGTTGGCCAGACTGGTCTCTGATCCACCTCCCTTACTTCCTCTTGTAGTGATGGTATGAACCCAAGCAGAGTGGTTTATAGTGGAGAAGAGACTGTAGCACCTCCATGGAAATAAAAAAATGAGTTTGAGTTCTTAGTAAAGGTGGAGGCACTGCCCCCTGTGAAAGACTAGCTTTTGGACACAGTCACAACTATGCCCTGTCAGCCTTGACACAGGATGGGACATTCCTTTTGGCTTGATTTAGTTCCTCCTCCTTATTCTCATTCACTTCTGTTAAGAGCTGGACTTAAGGCCTGATATTTCCCAGTGACAACTTTTCTTGTCTTGTTCTAAGAGGGAACTTCTGACTATGAAAGCCTACTTAGTGAGCCCACTTTGTTGGCTAAAGCAGTGAAGAACTGGACATAGCTAATTAGCTATTGGCTGATGGCTTGAATTTCTTAACATTCATTTGATTCCTTCCTTTCAGTTTGGTCAGATGAAGACTGGGCGGAGAAGTTTTCTGGGAAGAGGATGAAAAGAAAGATGGTTCAGAACCTCCCAAAGTGGAAAGCCAAGAGATGAGAATGAAAGTTCATGCTTCCGGAGGAGAGGCTGCTGCTTTCCACCCAAGGAACTGAGGTGAGTGGTGTTGGGTGAATTGAAAGGAGAAGTTTTGGGTTTCTGATCTAGGTGAGAAGTACCTTATGTGGGCTCAGGGATTTGTGATTGCTGCTGAGTGAGGCAAATATCTGAGATGAGAAAGGGTGGTGAGTACTCCCCATCACCAGCATCCACTGTCCTAGTCTTTGGCAGCAGGCTCACTGTCTTCCTGTTCCTGCCCTGATTCCAAGGGGGCAGAATCATGTAGAGGCCCCTTCCCCTCAGTCAGTATGCAGGCACAAGGCTCTCCCCGCCCTCTGTACTTGCTTCTGCTTCTCCATTAGACCATCCTGACTGTTGCTTCCCAGGATAACTTGGGGGCTCCTCCTCCTCTGTCCACCCTTGAGCAGTGATATTTCCCTGAATTCCTTTCTTAGCCGTTAGCTCCTCTCTCCACATTATCCTTGTGCCATGCCAGCCACTTCTATCGCCTAAGGTTATAACGATCATTCATTGTCCAGGTGATATTCTGATCTCTATCCCTAGCCCTGACCTTTCACATGTTTCTGTCTGGAAGTCTTATAGGCACCATAAATAAAGCATATCCCAAACGGTTTTCATCACCTTTCACTCTTGTCTTCCTTTATGCCCAGTCTTGGTTCACTTTGCCGTCTTCAACATAGTCACACCCAAACCAGATTCCCCAGTCCCATCTTAGACCCCTCACTATATTTCATACCTAATACATTGCCATACCCTGCTAATTTTATCTTTTAAATCTTGCATTTCTCCTCTCCAGTTTTTTTCTGCCGCTGTTGTCTTGGCTGAGGCCTTATCCTCTCTCCTGTGAATAATTGGAGTAGCTTCCTAACTGGTCTACCTGCCTCAGGCCTGCTCTCCTCCTGTCCTCAGCAGCCAGAGGGAGCTTTCTGAAGGGCTGATCTGACTATACCACTCTCCTCATTTATAGGATTGACTCCAGCCTCCATCAAAAGAGACGGAAGGCCCCTCTGTGTTCTGACCCCTGCTTATCTCTCCACATTTTATCCCCATTTTTTTTCTAGGAAACAAGAGTTTGTAGATAACCTGTAAATCTCTGTTTTGATGTAAGTCATTTCTCTGCCTGCAGTGTCCTTTCCAACTTATTTTATGTGGCTAATGCCTGCCCATTTCTCATAGTTTAGCCCATTTACTGCCTTCTCCAGGAAGCTTTTCTGAATCCTGCAGTGAGTGAGGTAAGTATCACTCTGGGCTCCCATGGCCTCTGGGTTCCTCTGGCACCCTCTGTCCTGGCATTGTATTGAAATGTAATTATATAGAAATGTGACTGGATTATATTGAAATTACTTATTTAACAAATGGCTAAATAGTGCTTACTCTGTGCCAGGCACTGTTCTAAGTGCTCTACTAATATTTTATTTATTTATTTATTTTGAGATGGAGTTTCATTCATGTTGCCCAGGCTGGAGTGCAATGGCACAATCTTGGCACACCGCAACCTCCGCCTCCCAGGTTCAAGTGATTCTCTTGCCTTAGCCTCCTGAGTAGCTGGGAATACAGGCATCCGCCACCATGCCCAGCTAATTTCGTGTGTTTATTAGAGACGGGGTCTCTCCATGTTGGTCAGGCTAGTCTCAAACTCCTGACCTCAGGTGATCCGCTCGCCTAGGCCTCCCAAAGTGCTGGAATTATAGGCATGAGCTAACGCCAGGCCGATAAGTACTTTGTTATCCCTAGTTCTAGGTGAGGAAGCTCTGGGGCGCAGTGAGGTCAGTACATTGTCCAGTGTTACACAGTTCATAAGTGGTGGAGCTGAGGTCTGAACTAAGGCTATAGAGCTCCAGGATCTGTGTGCCTTTACATTGTGGATATCCCTCCCCCAGTGGCCAGGCCAGTTCCTCAAGAGCAGGGGCCATATCTATCTAACTGCCTATCTATTTATTTTTTATTTTTTGAGTCAGGGTCTTGCTCTGTTGCCTAGGCTGGAGTGCAGTGGTGCCATCACAGTTCACTGCAGCTCTGACCTCCCAGGCTCAAGTGATCCTCCTGCTCTAGCCTCTCAAGTACTTGGAAGTACAGGCACGCCGCCATACCCAGCTAAATTTTTCATTTTTTATTTTGTAGAGACAGGGTCTTATTTTGTTGCCCAGATTGATCTCAGAACTCCTGGGCTCAATCATTCCTCTTGACTGGGCCTCCCAAAGTGCTGGGATTATAGAGTGAGCCACCCACCCAACTATATCCATTTACTTAAGAATCCCAGTGCCTGGCCTGCTAGCTCAATACCTGTATGTTGAACTATTAATTCAAACTACAAAGAGGTCAAAAACAATAGAGTTTTCTCTACCTCACAAATGGGAGGGTTTGTATTGAATGTTGTATTTATCCTCTAGCCAATCTTATCCTGGAGCACAAAGCAAAATGACCCAGCCTCCTCCGCTATCTTCTGAGTGCTTAGGCCTGAGCAAGAGGGCTGCCCCCTTGCTTTTATGTAGCCAGCCCGTGTATGTGCAGGGCCAAGCGAAGAGGGAAGAGGTAGTGGGACATGGATGGCTTCGTTTAATTGGAAGACGGTGGGTAGATTGGAACTGGCATTTGAAGATTTGAGAGTTGTTGATCATGGTTCAGAAAAATGCTGTTCTGTGACTGCGGGGCAGGAGGAGGAAACTGATACTTCTGAGGGTGAGCCTGATGAGGTAACATACTCATGTGTGGGGCTCAGGTTAGCCAGTGCTGAGGTCTCCTGTCTCTGGGCATCCAGCTGGTGCTACAGCCGGGGCTCCTGCCTCCTGCAGCCCTGTCAGGCCCAAGGCCTTCCCTGTTAGCACTTGCTCCAGCCTGCTCACTGGAGTTGTGTTCTGGGTGAGTGCGTAGAATACTCACCCTCCTATTTGGGGTGTCAGGGAGCTGTCTGTAACTAGCAATTTCTTTTGTACCTAGAGAGAGCCTGCCACTAAAAAGGCCTGGTCAAATCTTCAGGTGTACATGGATTGGGAACAAGCTGGCCGGCCTCATCCGGATGCTCCTGCATTCTGACGTCATGCCCATGACAGCAGGTAAGCAGGGCACTGAGGTGAGGACAGTGGTGGCTGAACAGGATGGAGAGGAAGCTATCTGGAGTCCTGGGCCCTTAACACTTTTCATCTGAGGCATCTCATATCCCAGCATCTAGTAACAAATGAGGCACAGCAGGCATTTTTGAAGCTCTATAAAGGCTTAGAGCCATTAGAAAGAGTAGGTAACTAAAAGTTATAAACAGTTTTATCCTCTGGTTTGGTTTTATTGTTGTTTTGTTTTGTTTTTTTGTAATTTTATTTGGATATATTTTCAAACTTACAGATATATAGAATAAGAATTCTGTAAGAATATTTCAAGGGGCCAGGTGCAGTGGCTCACACCTGTAATCTCAACACTTTAGGAGGCCATGGCTGGAGGATCACTTGAGTCCAGGAGTTTGAGATCAGCCTGGGCAGCACAGCAAGATGCCATCTCTACAAAAAATACAACGTTAGACAGGTATAGTGGCATGTGCCTATAGTTCTAGCTATTTGAGAGGCTGAGACAGGAGGATGGCTTGAGCCCAGGAGGTTGAGGCTGCAGTGAGCCATCATTGCACCACTGCACACCAGTCTGGGCAACAGAGCAAGGCCTTGGCAGAAAAAAAAAAATCAAGGAAAAAAAAAACAAGAAAAAAAAAGAATATTTAGAGGAACTCTTATGTATCCTTTACCTACTCATTAATTTCCTTTTTGTGCCCTGTATGCTTTATCATTTTCTTTATGTACATTATACACAGATGCATATATGTATTTTTCCCCTGTTCCACTTGAGAAATTGAAGACCATGCACCTTGACTCCTAAATTCAGTATATATTTCCTAAGAACCAGAATATTCCCTGGCATAATAGAGTACAACTATCAAAATTATAAAATGTGACATCAAGTACTTTGATGAGCCATATTCAGATTTATCACTTGTCCCAATATCGTTCTTTATAGTAATTTTTTTTCCCTGACAAGGATTCCCAAATTTATTTCGTTGTTGAGTCTCTTTAGTCTCCTTTTTTTGTTGTTGAGACGGAGTCTCACATTTATCGCCCAGGCTGGAGTGAAGTCGCACAATCTCGGCTCACTGCAACCTCTGCCTCCCGGGTTCAAGCGATTCTCCTGCCTCAGCCTCTCGAGTAGCTGGGACTACAGGCATCCACCACCGCGCCCGGCTAAATGTGTTTTTAGTAGAGATGGGATTTCACTATGTTGGCCAGGCTGGTCTTCAACTCCTGACCTGATGATCTGCCTGCCTCAGCCTCCCAAAGTGCTGGGATTACAAGGGTGAGCCACTGCGCCCCGGCCTAGTCTCCTTTTATTAGAAACAGTTTGTTAATTTCATTGCCTTTTTTGATCTTGACATCTTGGAAGAGAATAGGCCAGTTGTGTTTAAGGGTGCTTCTCAGTTTGTATTTGCCTAGTACTTCTTCACGATTAGATTTAGGTTATATGTTTTGGCAGCAGTAGCACAGAAGCAGTGTTGTTAGTGCATTGTATGAGGAAGTACATGATGTCAGTTCAGATGTTCGTGAAGTTAACTTTGTTGACTTGGTCAAGCAGTTGTTTGCCAAGTGTCTTCACTGGAAAATGCTATTTTTTTTTTCTTTGAGACAGGGTCTAGTTCTATTGTCCAGGCTGGAGTGCAGTGGTGTGATCACAGCTCACTGCAGCTTCAACTTTCCAGGCTCAAGTGATCCTCCCAGGTCAGCCTCCAACGTAGCTGGGACCACAGGCGTGCCCCACCATGCCCAGCCAATTTTTTATACAGATGGAGGTTTCACTATGTTGCCCAACTAATTTTTGTATTTTTTTTTAGAGATGGTGGGGTTTTGCCATGTTGTCCAGTCTGATCTTGAACTGGTCTCAAATGATTCTCTCACTTCAGTCTCCCAAAATGCTGGGATTATAGACTTGAGTGACCTCACCCAGCCAGAAAAGTACTATTTTTTTTTTTTTTTTTTT